GAACTCTGTTTCCGAAGTTTCTGATACCTTCGGGAAAACCAAATTCCCAGTATATTACGAGAAACTCAAGTCGATATGGCATACTCGAGATGCTGAGGCGAATTATTATATTATTGATATGGGAGATGAGGAAACACTAAATCAGGTTCACGAAACTTTTGAGCGATAATGAATTGAATTTTTTGTCTGAAAGGTTAAGTTTGACGGATGAGAATGAATGTATAAGTACGGAGGCGCGTAGGTGCATGACACTGTTTGATGAGATCATTGAGGAAGGTAATTATGATGATGATGATATAGAAGGCGAGAATAATGACATAACTGATGAAAGAAACAGCGAAGAGTTTGAGAAAGCCATCGCAAAATGAAGGGAAAAGTTCATCAATTAGACAGTCTATCCAAAAATTTCACTATCTATCTAACACCTTTCCCATTCCAGCGGAGAGTTATGATCAATCAGAAACGCCCGATATTTTTGTTATTAAGAGCGTCTCTAGTCACCTTGATACAATCACAAAAATGAATGGTTTAATGAGGAATACTCCTGAACGTACATGGACAGCTCATGTATTAGCTTATCTTTTTTTTGTCACATTTTGTTTTATTGATTCGTTGCAGTATTTCTCATGTGAACGAGATATTTCTACCATGATCGATGCTCAAAATAATGGGTATAAAGCTGATGGTGTCTTGGAGCTTTTTGAGCGACCAAGGCAAATTCCTTTATTTTTGCTTGAGGTGTCGGAAGGTCCCAATAATCCAGACCCAGATAAAATTAGTGGAGATAGAAAAAAGTTGATGAACGAGGGTGTTTTTGCTCTTAATAAGTTTATGATGAGCACCGAGTTACCGGAATTTAAAGTGTGTGAAACGTTGGGTGTCTTCCTGGCTCAGGGATTTGGTAAAATTTTTTAAATATTTTGATCCTGCAGGTGTTTCTTTGCTTCGAACCTAATATATTTCTTGTTTATTTGCTTGTAGCCGATAAAGTTGAGATTGGACAAATAATATTCATTGGGCCCGGCTTGTACTTTTTTTCGCCGTTTACAATCCCAGCTCTCAC